TTTGTACTGTGTGACCATGATGCCTTAGTGATCCCATAATCATTCTCAAACCAACTGCCGGGGTTGCTTGAAGAATTCGAGCAATGAAATCGTCTAACTGTTGATCAGATATATTAGAGAACTCTCTTCCCTCTACTGGCATACCGAACTGGTGTCGTCTGCGGCGAACTGTCCTTCCTGATACACCAAGAGTTCGAGCAATGTCACTCCAACGCATACCACAATCGCCGTGTAAAGCCCGCAACTGTTCGTGGCTTATGCGAAATCTTGGTCGCCCACTCAACCCACTATTCTCAACTGAAATATTTACGTTTAACATTCCGTTTTCATCCACATCGTCTTGTAAAAAACATTCCCTTTCAAAGTGAGATCGAAGAGAAAGCGTACGATCCAAAACATACGATAAATTAAGCAAGCAGCTTCTCTGTGATTCAAGGTGGCCATATGACTCCGTGAATCTGGATGCTATAACTGAAAGCGTTCTGGCATATTCATCAAGTCTTCTTGTTAAGAATTCGGACCGATCACAAGATGCAGAATGCAACTGACCATCACAGGTGTCAATGAGTCTTCCCAAAGAGAAAAAAAACTCGTTTATATTTGGCAACCACCGTGCCATTTTCCTTTCGATTTGATCCTGATTTGATGCAGCACCATTTGTAGCACACGTCAATTACTTCCGGTTTTTAGTTTCCGGTTTCATTGAGCATTTTTCTGTTCCACACTTCCGTTTCCACTGGACAAGATTTTTTTTTGTATCAACCAATTTCCGGTTTTAATCGAATTTTTATTTTTGAATGTTTTTTATTTTTTTCGACGAGATTTTTATTTCGAATGTTGTTTTATTTTATTTCCGATCGAAGATTTAAAATATTTTTGGCAGCATTTTATAAAAAATTGGCCTAATTTTTTTATTTTTGGAATAAAATACGTTAATTTGGAATAATTTTTTAATTACGCTATTTTGTCCGCAATGGAACGCCATACTGCATAGTTTTGAAATTTTTTTATGAATTTTCGTTTTATTCTGAATGAAAGCAACAATTCTCAGACAAACTTTGTCTGTACAAGCACAGGGTTGCATTGTCTCTCAATTTCGTAGGGATTAAGTAAATTATAGCTACTTATTTCCGAAATATATCTTATTTGGTATAGGGAAAAAGTGGTACTTGCTGGATTTCAACATATGCCCACAGTATGGAAAAACCTACAATCATTTAAGTTGCAACTGTAAAGGTCGACAGACTTGCAAGTCAAAACTCGAGACATGAAAGTTCAGGTCAAGAAGTAAACTCAAATTTTTCGGTGATGATAACATTTTGGAGAAACAGCCGTTGTGCTTTGTACATGAAAAAGGAACTGTTGCTGATTATTTTAATTCTGAGCTGTGCTGAGAAGTATTTTGTCAAATTGGTCGACCCTCTTTACCCTTCCTCGAAAATGTCTACCGTCACTGGGTCGCAATCATGAGCTACACCATAAATTAGGCATGTACCCAACTATTGGAAGGACAGACTATTGTTTGGCATGCAATAAAACTGGTGGACGATGTGATTGGCCCGACCTTTAGATGTTTCATTTCACCTATTTTGCAGAAAACAGTGTGATGTGGGTGAATATCATTGTAAATGCAAAGATTGGGTTAGCCAATGGACACATCTTTGTTAAGACTTCTTCTTCTGCAACATTTATGAAAAGAACTACAACGACTCATCCAGATAGAAACCATACCTCCACCCAGGAACTAAATTCCCAAGGTTGAATATAATCACGAAAAGTTGGTCTGATCAATCCACTTTTTGGTTCGGACAAGATCGGACATAAGATTATTTATAAAACTAAAAAGTTGTATAGTTCATTGCACCAGTAGTGAGCTAGACATGGCAACTGGTCATGCTTACTAGTAAACTTACATCCAAATATTCTAAATAAAGATTTCAATAAGGCAGATCATTACAAATTTGCATACATACATGACCTGTTGCTATGCCTAGCTTTGCTACTGCATTGCACCGAGTTTCATTTTTTTAACTTAATAGAAAATTTTAAAAGTAAAAAATTTAAACCAAATAGAGCTGCTCTCACTGATTATAAACAATCAATTAATGTATATTTTAGTATCTTCACAATAAAGGGGCACATCTTTGCATTTCGTTGTTGCTTCTCAACAACAAATGGTTCCGCTTGGGTAAAGGGTAGACAGCAGATATATATTTTACCTTTTGCTGTGCAAAACTAATTTTGATTAGCTCACCTTAACATGACAGTCAAAAACAGTAAAGCAGCAGATTTGTTACCATAATTATCATATTATAAATACTACTACAATCTACATCAAATAAAAAGGAAATAAATATGTATGTGGCCATTCATAAAACTGTCCAAGAACAAGATTATTCTCTTCATTTTGTCCGGGTAAAATGGTTTGCTATCTTTAAAGGTGATGTTCATGAGTGCTATTTTAGATGATTCACCTCGGATTTCCCGAAAGTGAAGTTGCCTTGCTTCCATAACAACTCCAGCACCAAATAGTTTTGCCTTCCCTTCATGTTGCCCAATAACAATCACCTTATCACCTACACGAGGTGGTAAATAAAACAGAGAGCTCGAAAATTGTTTATGCAAATATGATACAATTGCACATAGACTTACCAGCCTTTAGGAGTATAATTTAAATTTGGCACAGACAGTTTCCTTTGTTGTCATTGTTGTTCCTGCAAGTGCTGTTGTTTTTGCAATTGTTGACACTCCTGTTGTTGTTGCTGCTGTTGTTTTTGTTGCTGTTCCTGCAAGTGCTGCTGCTGGTCTACCAGTCATTGACTGTTTTGTTCTTGTCGCTGCTGTTGTTGTTCGTCCTGCAAGTGCTGTTGGTTTTGCAGTTGTTGACACTCCTGTTGCTCCTACTGTTGTTGTACCTGCAGTTCTTCTTGCTACTGTTGTTGTTCTTCTTGCTACTGTTGTTGCTGTTGTTCCTCTTGTTTTTTCTTCGCCGCTAAAAGACAGTGCCACATAACACCACTCGGGTTATGAACTTGTGGCCCTCAAGTTGAATACAAAATACAGTTACATTAATGTAAATGTAACTGTAACACATATCACATACTAAACAAGAAGCCATTTATTACTTGATTTCCAAGACTAACTAACTTCAGAGGCAGATAAGATCTTAATTTATATGCTAGCTATGGTGTATTATATCCTGACACCCTGTTAATTTCAGAAAGTTATTTAACTTCATGTAGTGGAGTTATTCTGAACCCAATTTTACTCCACATTTAGAGTTCAATTGGGTTCAAAACTATGTACTTGGATTTGACTACTTCATTCCCTGAGAGTGCAGTATTTGATGAGGATATTATATTGTGCCACTACTGTAGGAAGCAATTTTGTATTGGGGGGGGCTGATAGTCAGGGATGATCATTTCCCTCTCAAACGTTACAGATTATTTATCACTAGTTTGCAAATTATTGGGCTGAAGCTCTCCCCCCCCCCCGCAGGTGTCTATGGCCCTGTCTTGTTCTAATTACTTGCAGTCACTAGTTATGCTTATGGTTTGTCTGCATAGTGAAAAAACAACAGTACTTCAATAGCAAAATTAAAACTGCATCCATAGAATTTAATAACACTATTTTCGTTGATCACTCTTGTATTCACAAGAACGATATGTTCAATTTTTGCTGGATAGCCACATACCACAGAAAGATTTCAAATTGACAGTTGGATTTAGGGACCGCTCATTATTTATTGTACAGGGGGGGACTGAGGAGAAACTCTACAGTTGTAATATTTTTTCGTTGCCCCCCTCTTAAGACAAGTAAAATTTTCAAAGCCCCCCCCCAACAGGCAAAACAAGAACATAAGTTTTGCCCCCCCCCTAGCTCTTTATCTTTATTTAGAGAAACAAAAACTCTAGCTGTTTATTTTAGAGAAAGAAAAATAGGTAATGGGGACCAATAGACATTCCCATTATAGACTAATTTTTTATCTTAGCAAAAAAAGTATATTCCCGGGAAGAGCATACTAAAATTACTAAAATTCCAAAGTTTGGTTGCAAAATGTTGTAAAATATGTAGAAAATATAGCCTTCCAAAGTTTGCAAATTTTGTATTCTTTTGTATAATTTCAATTTTCGCATGCAATACAAAAGTGTACAAAATTTGCAAACTTTGCAAG